GGTTCTATACCAGAAGACCAGAGAAGACTTCACAGAGAAGACAGAATGGTGAAGGATTAGTTCTCTAGGGAAGGAATTTTCCACCCAACGCATTAGAGTCAGAAACACTTAGGTAAACATCCTGGCTCCATCTCTCACTATATGACCATGGACAAGGCATTTAACCTAAGTGAACCTCAATTTCCTTATCTATAAAAAACTACCTACTTCATGGGACTGCTGCAGAGATTTTATGAGATAATAGCCTTTAGGCCCTGGCCCTAGCCCAGCAGAGTGAACATTCAATATATAGAAACTCCTCTTATTTCTCCTTCCTAAATGTCTTCAGAAAAACGAGGTGAGGAAGAGTATGTATTTGGCTCAAGAAAAAGTCTTTCCTTCTCTGCTGCCAGAGATGCTGTTGGGGTTCAGACTGTAGCTAGTTACTTTTATTCCTCCGTCTATTTGAGGGGAAGCTGAGTTCATTGAAGACCTGATAGAGACGAGACAATGCTTAGAGGCAGCAGAGCAGTGGTTCTTAACTGGGAAGATGCTGCTCCCCAGAGGACATTTGGCAATATCTGGAGACATTTTTGGTGGTCACAACTTTGGGGAGGGATGCTTCTAGCTTCTAGAGCATTCTATAATGCAAAAGACAGCCCCCACCATAAATAATTATCTAACCGAAAACATCAATAGTGCTGAGGTAGAGAAACCCTGCAGTTTGAGTTCTTTACTTACCAAGTGACTGACCACAAGTGAGTTCATCATCCAGGCCTTGGTTTTTCTCAATTATACATATAAAAAGAGGATAATAATAGTATCCATTTCATAAAGTTCCTGAGAAAATTATATGATAGTGTTAAGCACTTATTACAGTCTGACACCAAACATTCAGTAAAAGTTTGCTAATGACAGTAAGAGTCAATGAAACACAGTGAAAACACCTGTAACCGGTCAGAGATTATTGATTTGCTGTAAGAGATTTTGGTAGATTCAAGTACCATTTGGGGAGTTTCTTTCAGAGAGGGAGTAAAACCAAACCTTCTGGACAATATGATTGTGATACTTGAGTGATACCAAGTGTACTGTGTAGAAATTAGCATCTGGAGTATACAGAGAGGAGAGGGATCAAATTCTAGATTTGTGTATCCTTCTTAGCTCTATCCATCCTCACACTATCTCTCCAAGGCCTTAATCTAAACAATAGCTATGGTTTCTGTTCCCTCTCTCTTATTAGTATGGCTAATATAAAAATCCTGCTATATATCTTAGGTAAAATTATATTCCTTGATTCAGTAATATCTACCAAAATGCAAATACACATTCCCTTTCACCCAGCAATACCTATTCTAGAATTTGACTCTGATAAACTTCATACCTATATAGAGGCTATGTACAAGGATATCCATTACAGCAATATTTGTAATGGCCAAATGCAAACAATGTTTGGGTTCCATCAAAAAGGAACTGGTTAAACAAATTTTGACAGCAGTGGAATCCTAGTTAGCCACAAAAAATGAGAAAATCTAATTTTGTAGTGATATGAGATTTTTCCCAAGATATATTAAGAATAAAAGGCAAAATGCCGATCAATCTGTATGGTGTACTACCATTTGTAAAAAGGGGCAAATATATTATGTGCTTACACATTCAGAAAAATTTTCTTGATTATCTACTCAAGACACTGAAAACATCTGTTGCCTCTAGGGAAGGAAACTGAGTGGCCGGGAAATAGTAGAAGGGAAATTTTATATTGCACCTTTGTACCCTTTTGTATCCACGGAACTATGTGAATGTGTTCCTTATTCAAAACATAAATAAAATATGGAATAAACTGTATGTGCTGGTCACAAGAGACCTCAACAATGGAGTGTGAATGAAATCAGGAAGGAAGTGGGGTCCCTCAGCCACCTAGATGACCAGATGCCCAGACTGTGTCCCATAGTGGGGCAAGTATCCCAGGTCCTGTCTGCGATGGGCCAAGAGGGAACTGGAAGGAACTTGGGGCCCCAGTGATGTCAAAAAGGTTGCCCCAAGGGAGAAGCACTGCATCCCAAATAGGGTTTTTAGGTCAGCATCAACTCTGACCTACACGTAAAACAAAACCTGAGTTATCAGTCCTACACTACTAAAGAAAATTCTGGTTTAAAGAGAGAGCACCCTGAGGATTAAAACCATTACGTAGAAGTTACAGGGGTATAGATTTCAGTTCAACGTAAAGGAACAACATTTTAAAAACAGAACAATCAAAGACTAAATGGACTCCCCTGGGAGGTGGTGCAGGCACTGGCTCTGAATGGGTCTCCACGGTAGCTGCGTGGTTGCGCAGCAGGGATGCCACAGAGGAGAGTCAGGTGTCTTGAGGCTGATGCAGCCGCATGCATAACCTTTAGAATTCCTCCGTGTGTATATGGAGAGTGACCAGATGGGTTTCGTTTCAATGGGCTAAGTTTCGCCCCTTCTCTTTCACTGAGGAGCGAGGCAAACTAGACAATAGCATTCTCAAAGAACCCATCACGTGTCACTTGATGAGAAACTTTTAAATACTAAAAGCAATTCTCTTCATGATGACTCACTACACATAATCACCATAAGCCCTGGAATTTAGGTTCGTGGATAAACCCTTGCTCTACTAGTATTTTAATAGTTCCATATTCTCTCAGCTAACTGCCTTTCTGTAACAAATTTAGAGTGTAAGAGTAAGTCGGCCGGGCGCGGTGGCTCACGCCTGTAATCCCAGCACTTTGGGAGGCCGAGGCGGGGGGATCACGAGGTCAGGAGATGGAGACCAGTCTGGCTAACACGGTGAAACCCCGTCCCTACTAAAAATACAAAAAACTTAGCCGGGCGTGGTGGCGGGCGCCTGCAGTCCCACTACTCAGGAGGCTGAGGCAAGAGAATCACTTGAATCCGGGAGGCGGAGCTTCCAGAGAGCCGAGATCCCGCCACTGCACTCCAGCCTGGGCGACAGAGCTAGACCTCATCTCAAAAAAAAAAAAAAAAAGTAAGTCTTCAAGATAGGAGTTTTGTAACCTTTGCCTAGAACCAGCACCTGGCCACAGGAAAACGATATTCCTGTATGGCAATTCTGTGTTTCAGGAGAATATAAAACAAAAAGAAAGAGGAATTCTGAGAAATATGTATTCCTCCTCCCTCCCCGATTTCCTTATTCCACACAAAGGAAGCAAGAAGTAGAACAAAGAGCAAGGATAAAGGGAAGAAAGCTGTTTGGGGCTACGCCAAATAAACTTAAATGGCTTAAGGAACAAATTGGTGGAATGATTCGAATCATGGGCAGGTGCTATGAATGTAATTTAGTAAATGCTTGGGAACCTGCCAGGGAAGAAAAAAATGTGTTGCTTTTGAGATCGTTTCCCAGCAGCTTCATAAAAGAAAACTGATTACAGGAATTTAATAAGTAAAACAGAGCCAGAAATATTGTAATCAAATGAGTTTTTAATTACATATCGAGCAGAAAAAAATTCCTATTTGTACTCCTGGGATTAAAAAAAAAAAAGTTCTAGAGAAATGCTTTTGTAGCAGGAAAATAACATAAACACTAATTTCCATAGGAATTATAGTAGTCAGTTTAATTAAAAGGCTTGATCAGAGTAAAGAGAAGCTTGTGCCAAGCTATACTAAATAAAACCATGGCAGTTGTGGCTACCTCACACTATTGTCTAAATAAAAGCACTGTGCATTGAGCAGAAAACAAGCACCTGCATTTTTCTCATGGAAATAAAGGGGATTTTGATCACTGCTGGAGTTACAATGTTGCTTTGTTTTATTATCATATGAAATAACTAGTAAATCTGATTTAAAATTAGATGTTTCTGTTTAGCGTGATAAACATCACTGTTAAGAGACAGATAGAATATACTCTGTCTTAAGGACATCAGGCTTTCAGTGCCCAACCCCACTCTCTTAACTTACATCTAGTTACGTTTTACTCATATTCATGTAACTCCCTGGAGCACAGGATTATCTGAGCAGATAAATTAGATTTACTAACAGGTGGTTTGCAGTTGTGCTTGGAGCCATATACTCTGGCATTCTAACAGAAAAAGAGCTATTCTTCCTGTTGGAGGACTTACTATTGACTACTCCCTAACCACAGTCATGCTCGGAGAAGGCTTTTCAGAAGGTATGCTGAAATCATAGTGGCTTAATGATATTTTCACCTTTTGTGCCCCTTGTGATGAATGGGATGCACCTACAAGGTGTCTACATGGGACCAGGGATATAACCCTGTCCACAGAACAAAAAATAGCTTACTGACCCAAAGCATAAAGGGGGAAATCACCTTTCCGTAGGCTAATAATCTCACAACTTCTGTGTTCCTTCTTTTATTTATTTCTTTATAAGGAAAATAAAAACTACCTTATAGGCCCTAGTGCAACAAGAAAGGGAAACTTTAATTTTTCAGAATTTTGGGGAGCCTGGGAAAAAACTGGCTGGTTGGCAGTCCAGATCTGTATAAAAACAGTGAGACAGGGCTGGGGAGAAAACTGGATTACTCTCCATGGGGTAAAAGACTGTGCCCTTTAAGGTGAAGAGGAGTATGTAAGAGTAAGTCAGTGGGTAAGTCACTTCCCCTGTGACAACCTCTAAAGTCGGTACAGTTAGTAGGCATCCAAAATGTTGAGGGTGATAGGATTTCCTATGAAAAGGGGAAATAAAATGAAACACTGCATTAGGAATGGTGCAGAATGCAGTCGAGAGGGCCAAGTAGACTCAAGAAGATGTCAAAGAGTACAAGGAAATAAGACTTGGAAATAACTGGAAGGAGTCTGAAAGGTCCCCCAGAGCATGAAATAGATTTGAGGTCTAATCTCAAGTGTAAAGGGATGGGGAGACCTCAAGTGACATAAGATTACGTTCAAAGAACAATGTCAGAATTCACGAGAGTTGTATACATATGCAAGATGATGGGTGATAGAATTGATGGATAAGAGGAAAGAAGAAAGGAGAGATGGGTATGAGTAAGTCAGAAGGAAGGTCCTGGTGTCAACCCTTACCCCAAATTGATGACAACAGCAATCACATTCAATGTGTCCTCAGAAGTTCATGTCTTCAGTCTCCTCATCACCATCACAGTCTCTAAAAACAGGAATGATACAATTACTAGCTGGTTGGAATTGTGCATTGACAAAGGTTGAAGCCATACAATTTCAAGATGTGTACCTTATTATTCCTTGGTTTTTCTTCTTGACTCTTTAAGAGCTTCCCATTTATGCTACATCTTCAGCAGATTTCTCTATATCTTCATTCTATATGCCAGGTTAGTGTCCGGTCCCTGACTTTTACTTGAGAAAAGCAATGGTTTTCTCCATAGCTTCCAAAACAAATGGAAAGATTACAAAAGGAACCCCTAACTTCCTATATGGATTCTTATCTTCCTTCTGCGGCAGAAGGACTAAGGATCATTCATGATCCTAACATGTGGGGGATATGTTTTATCATTGGTAAAATGCACAGTCATTGTGAGGAATAGCTGAGATGAAGTATGTAGAGCAGCCAGCAATGTGTTTAACACATAGGAGGTGTTAGGTGTTAACAGAAGCTCCCCCTCATCCACGTGGGATGCCAGCTTTTTATACTTCTTTCAGATCCTGGAGATGGAAAACAGGCCCAAGAAGTATGAATGCTTAAAAATCCATACATTCTCATTGATTCTGTCCATTTGTAAACAGATTATAAAATACCGTGTGTGTGTGTGTGTGTATACATATATATATATATATATATTTTTTTTTTTTTTTTGAGATGAAGTCTCATTCTGTTGCCCAGGCTGGGGTGCAGTGGTGTGATCTCAGCCCACTGAAACTTCTGCCTCCTGGGTTCAAGCGAGTCTCCTGCCTCAGCCTTCCAAGCAGCTGGGATTACAGGCGTGTGCCACCATGCCTACCTTTTTTTTTTTTTTTTTTGTTTTCAGTAGAGATGAGGTTTCACCATGTTGGCCAGGCTGGTCTCAAACTCCTGACCTCAAATGATCCACCCACCTCAGCTTCTCAAAGTGCTGGGATTACAGGTGTGAGCCACCTCGTCGGGCCATATTTTAGATGTTCTGATCATTTAACCAGTTAGAAACATAATGGAAAGATTTCATTCAAGGCAAAACCCAAAAGTTAGTAGTGTTATCTCTTCAGTTATGAGATTATAAATTATCTCCATTTCTTACTTTTAAAATCTATTGTTTCTATATTTTCTAACACCAACATGTTACTTAAAATATATAAAATAACTGCGAAGGGAAGAAAAGGTATTATTTTTGAAACAATTCTCCAAAACCTCATGTTTTAAAAGGACAAAGACCATGTTTCTAAAAGTTAAATGTCATCAAAATCTTATTTCCCTTTTCATTGAGCTGTCCAGAAAATTAAAAGGCTTCTAGACTCTGTTACATATGTTTTACAGGGGTGGCTTTACTTATACTTATTATTCATCTTTATTGGCATATAGGTACATAATAGATATTTTTGCTGATCATATTTTACTGGTTGAATATGTTAGAAGCCTTTCATTATGAAAAGTTAAAAAAAGTTAAAATAAGTAAAATGTAGATATTCATGCATTTAAAAGAAAGAAAACAATCAGTAAAGTAGAGAATAGTGGAATTTTCCTGTTGGGCAGAGTAAACTCCATGCCCCTCTGATCTGTAAAATATTTACCTATTGCTCTTTAATCTGAGCTCCTTGAATTTGTTCTAGTCCCAGTTTAGAAACAAAATCCTCGGCCCTGCCCCAAGCCCTCTGATATGAAAGCTGAAGAAGGACTCATTTGCATTAAATTAAAGTAAGCCATCTTACTTTTAGGGCTCTCATTCCACTACCAGGGGCAAACCAGGAGCGGTGAGACAAGCTTATACCATTTGGGAACACGAGGACTCTTTCAAAAACACACACACACAAAATTACGCACAAAATAATATACTTAGAAGAGTCTGGCACAAGTGAGGATGCTAAAGCCTGACTTTCATCAGCCTGGTGGTCCATCTGCCCCTGGCCACACCTTACATTCCCTCTTCCCTCATCCCCATTTCATCCCTCTGTCACTCTCTTCCACACTGCTTCCCTTTCTGCCATGTCTATTTCCATGCATGTTTCCATGCTTTGTATATTTAGCACAACTCCTAGATCTTTAGCTTTAAAAATGAGCACCTTCTCATTTCAGGATTTTACCTGGCTTTTCCTATTCAATTAAGTCCACCCAGAGTCATCTACGGTAGAGCAATTGTGGGATTATTTTGTAAAAATTTAAGTTCATAGTCAATTGAGATCTGGAGCCCTCTATGGTAGGCAAAGATGCACAAATAAGTAGGCATATGTGAGCTGGATATTTTGTTTCCTGTCTTGCTTGATGTAGTTGTAAAACAGGATTCGAGTCTACATGGCTGGTGTCCCCTAGAGTTGTACACAGCCATGCTGGTGATGTCTTATTTTTCATTCTCTAAGTAGGCTCTATTAATACAACACATTGGTGTTAAATGCATATTTACTTCTGTAAATAGCTCTTGTTTACCAAAATAATCATCACTTTCATTTCCTACAGCCAGTTTACATTCTCCTCATAAATGAAAGGGGGAAAATCATGTCAGTTACTCTGTTTCCTCTCTCCTCCACCTGTATTTTGTTTTGTTTTAGGCACTGGTGAAGGTCAATGTGAAACTGAAGCCGATGCTAGATTCAGTAGCTGCAAACAGAAGTAAGTGGGAAGAGCTGCACCAAAAACGGCTGCTGGCCTCAACTGCCTCATCCTCCCCTGCCAGTGTTACGGTAGCCACGGAAGACAGGAACTAACCCTCCAGGTCAGCTGCAGCTACAAAGTGACTCAGCCTGAAGGGCCACTTTCAGTCCAGCCATGTCATCCTTTTGTTCTTTTAGTTCAGAAAGACCTAACATCTCAAGAATGCACTGGGAAGCATGCCTGGGCTTTCACCTTGAAGCGTGATCAGCAGCAGAGAGCAATGGGAAGGACAAAGAAAGAGGTGGGGCAGGGAGCACACCCCAGGACCCTCACTTTTTCCCTAATGAACACGCATGGGCTGAAATGAAGGCTTTGGGTGGGGACTGTTTTGGATCCAAGGATCTGTGGACAGGCGGCCTACTCGCTCTGAGCTGAGGGAACACTGAACAGTAAAAGCGTCACTAGCGCTGCTTCATTTTGTATATGGCTTTTCTGTTTGTTAGAAGCCAAACACTGCCTGTCTTTGCTTCCTGTCCCTGAATGCCTTTTTGTGCCAGACCGTCCCAAGAATCCTAATTTGTATTCCATAGAGGTATTTTATTTTTAATCCTAGAGCTTCTTATTGATGGATCCTTTAGAATTGCCTACCTAAAAGTAACCTATACTATCCTTATAAATACTGGTCAATCTCAGTTCTCCCCCTAAAAAGGAATACATAGTAGGAGTATAGCAAATGTGTTTGATGGGTAATTCTAGACTTGGACTATGGTACCCTTTTCCAGAGGTTTAAAATTCAACCTTCATTACAGACCAAGTTTTCGCCCAGAAGGAATGGATTGATAGATTTTGATTAAAGTAAGGGTGGAAGGAAATCTGTAGCTGGATTTACCACAGGTGACATCTAGAAACTATGGTTCACAGGACAGAGCAGAGCCATGGAGACTAAGCATTGACCACCTTGAGTTCTCCTAGTGAAGAGTTCTGATATAAAATGTAAGGTTACTGCCAGTAACCAACTTAAAGCAAACTATAGGGGTCCCTAATTTTGGATTTTTCTTTAAGTATAAGAAATAATGCTTCAAATGTTAAGAAATAACAGTCTGGGCAAAGAACGCATATTCTATAGGAAGCCAAGTTTACAATAGGTAAGAATAAACTGTATTAAGTAGATGTAATGACTAGAAAGCTGCTTTGCTCCCTGTTTTGAGAAATTGTGGACATAGTATATCTTATCCAAAGAACACTGGGCTAGAAGATAGATTTCTATCCCTAGCTTTGGCATTATTGACTAGATTGACTTGAACAAGTCACTTCACTTCTCCAAGCTTGTTTCCTTATTTGTCAAATTAGATTACACTAGGAAATGATTCTTGAACATGTTTTTACAACTCTTTGTTCAAATAAATCTTTCAACGAATCCCCAACATATAAAACATCAAAAAGCTGAATTCCTAGGTGAATTATAAGCAGGGTTTGGACATCCAGAGCACCTACAAACCTTTATCTCTTCGATTACATACATGGGGGTCCACAGGGACTCTGAGGAGTTTGAACATCCCTGGACTAGTTTAAACCTGAGGGCCATTCCAGTCCTTAAAAAAATCTAAAATTTACAAACCATTTTTCTTATTATTGTTTTTGTTTGTTTTTGTTTTTTGAGACGGAGTTTTCACTCTCGTTGCCCAGGCTGGAGTGCAATGGCGCGATCTCGGCTCACTGCAACCTCGGCTTCCTGGGTTTAAGCAATTCTCCAGCCTCAACCTCCTGAGTAGCTGGGATTACAGGTGCCCACCATCACGCCTGGCTAATTTTTGAATTTTTAGTAGAGACAGGATTTCACCATGTTTGCCAGGCTGGTCTCGAACTCCTGACCTCAGTTGATCCACCCACCTCTGCCTCCCAAAGTGCTGGGATTACAGGCGTGAGCCACCGTGCCCGGCCCTTGTTATTGTTATTAATCATTATCAATCATTAACTTTACAAATATGAAAGAAAGAGGGGCCATGTTCTACAAGGGACATTGTTTTCCTGGCACACAGTAGATAATTCAGGAAATGTTGGCAGAAGAAATGGGTAAAATTAAGATACCAAAATGGAAGTGAGGGGAGTGCAGGTAATTGTAGAGAAAAAGACTCTTCATGGCAAGAAACAAAGTAAAAGAAATGTATAAACCAGACTAACAGGGGAATAAAAGCAAGCAAGAAGAAGAAATATAAGAACACCAATAAAGGAAAGACAGGGACTGAGGCAGGTGGTTAAGGGAACTGCCAAAAAAAAAAAAAAAAAGGTGAAAGTCAATCCAAACAAAGAAAAATGGCACTTCCAACCAAAAACATGAAGATGTAGAACCCTGTCATCAATTGCTGAGAAAAGAGAGACACTCGAGTAGGGAGGGGATTGAGAAAGGGGAGAAGGAAGGAGTGAGAGCCCTAAAAAATAATGTTCCTAGCTACCCTTTACAGCTGTCTCTGCAGGGAAGACTGGAGAAAGTAGAGGGGGAAATGAGTGCAGGAAAAAACTGCCTCTGCAGAGCAGGTAAGAGGAGGTTGTTCAGATTTATGGATTTTATTAAGCCAGTTTTCTGTATCACTCTGCTATAAAGGAAAATAGCTGCTGCAGGGCTGTCTCTCCTCCTTCAGGTGAGGAACAAAGGGTGGGTGGAGTCAGAGACAGAGTCTGGTCTGCGAGATCATGGTGTGTCTGCAGCTCCGAAGCACTGCAGGTGTTTCTGGGTAATGTGCCACATCATGTTTATATCACGAACGGGAATTGAAAATCAGTCTGTGTGGCAGAGATGAGCCCACATCTGTTATCCTCACCAACAATAAATAAATAAATAGCCCAGACAAACGGATGCCAGTCCATCTACAGCAACATTTTAAAGCATGTGCTTTATGACAAAACTGGACCCAGCGTCTGACAGAGACTGCAGGCTGCCGTGAGCACTGTAGCTATCCTGAACGTTGATGCTACATATTGCTAAGGGGAACATAATTTATAGCACAAACCCTACAGCCTCCACTAAGGTTGAGTTTTCCTCTCATTTCCTTGCCTTTTTATTGGCTTCACTGCATGGTTGCCAATAGCAACATCCACTGGTAGCAAGGGGAGTTCAACACCATTGCAATCTGCCATATAGTGGAGCCCTGACAATGTCAACCATCAATCTAGTAGCTGTTTGTAATTGCCTCCATCTATTTCTCCTGTCTTGAGGTATCTTTCCTATTGTGGGTCAAGATTCAGAAACTGCTGACTAATGCCATGGGTGTGCATCTCCATGACCATGAAGCAGTGGAAAGGAAGGTAGCAGCTTCCTGGTGCCAACAACCCCAGAGGTTAGAGTTTGAACTCTTGCGGGTTTCAGGCGTTTTTAATCTCTTTTCTAAAAAATTTATAATTTTGCTAAAATGTGAGGCATATGCAGTTATCCATATATTCTGCTTTTCCAAAAAAGAGAAAGAAAGTTTCCCAGTCCTTATTATTAATGTTTATTTCCTACTGGAGAAAGACATTTGAAATGTGAGCCTTCTTGTAAAAACTCAAACTGACCAGATTATGTTTGCTTTCTCAGGTCTCTTGGCATTAACGGTTGAAATAAATTCATCCTACGTTTTGGATGAGATGTATTTTTTTAGACATGCTATTTAGTCTTACTAATCAGTATGTAGCTAATATGTGCGCAATCTACAATATAGTGGCAATCCTGGTGGGTAGGGACAGCTTCACATACTGCAAAGGGTGCCATTCAGTGCATAGCAGACTGGAACTCCCTCCTAGCGTGGCCACCAGCTGAACCTGTAATCTTAGGACTCTCCAAGTCTTAGATTCTCCATCTATTAAATAAAAGTACTGACTTTTATTCAGTCCCCACACCAAAGGACCAAGATGTGTTTAGCTTTAAAAAAATTTTCCAGATAATTTTCTTTTTTATTCTTCTCAAATAAAATAGCAACAAACCTAAAGCGGTCATCTTCTTAATAAAGACATAATAAAAAGTTACATATTTGGGGCAGACATAAACACAATCATACTACAGATGTCTTGAGTCTGTCTCTAACTATGATGAAAGATGTAGTCATCAATACAATTTTTTAAAAAATATGTCCTTCTTTTTTTGAGACAGGGTCTTGCTCCGTAACCCAGGCTGGAGGGCAGTGGCACAATCACAGCCACTGCAGCCTTGACCTCTCCAACTTAAGTGATCCATCCTGCTTCAGCCTCATGAGTAGCTGGGGATCACAGGTGTGCACCACCACGCCCAGCTAAATTTTGCATTGTTTGTAAAGACGAGGCCTCACTATGCTAACCACGCTGGTCTCGAACTCCTGGGCTCAAGCGATCCTCCTGCCTTGGCCTACCAAAGTGTTAGGGTTAGAGATGTGAGCCACTACACCCAGCTTATATGTCCTTTTATTTCATAAAAAACAATTTTAGATTATCTGATATCATATATATCCCATAAATGGTAGTCATTAATTTAAAAGTGAATTTATAAAGTAAGTCAAGAGAAGTTAAAATTGCACATGCATTTTGTTTCTAAAAGCTGAGATGTCTATGCATTTCCAGGTATTGTATATTTGCAAATACGTTGGGTTAGAAATCATCTTTAACATTTTGTGTTAGTGTAATAACAATATTATCTAATATTAATGCTACCAGAATCTGGTTGCCTTTTCTGTGTATCAAAATTTATCATACTTTATCCACTTACACTAGGTGATTAAACAGAATCTGCCCAATTTATTCTGCAGTAAAATTATTTTAAAGCCTATTTTTCCTGCTGACTCTTAGAAACTGCAAAAACCAGTTTCATCTCCAGTAATAGTGTGAAACAATTTCCTTCCAGTGGGACAGAAATCTAGACATATTAGGGAAAGATTTAAATATAAAGAAAAATGTTTTGGCTGGAAAAAAAAAAAAAAAAAGCAAAACACACCAAAACACAAAAAGGATTCATTAAAGCAACAGAACAAAAACTAATTTGGGACCCTAAAAATTCTGGCGATGCCACTGTAATGAGGTTTCATTATCTGCTTCAGAGTAACAGTCTCTGAAATTGTTATTCTGCTACATGCTGTAAAGAACTCCCAAAACTCAAATGTATCAGGAAATGTAAAGGTTAAGTCTGACTACAAGAAGGCCAAAATTGCACCAGCTTCCTAAGTGAAGAATAATAGAATAAAACATAGAGGGCAGAAATAAAATGAGGTGTATCTGGAGAATTTCATGATGAGCATTTAGATTTAGCAATGCCCAATGTCATGCTGACACTGTTTGTCATGACCTTGTCTGCAACTAGTAATTTGGGGTTGTACATTTTTTAAATTTAATTTTGAATGTTCTTGCATGTTTGGTACACCTCTCTGCACTGCTAAATTGTTTATCTGCATAATATAACTACACCAATGTCATTTAATGTATACACTAGTACAGAAATGTGTTTTTTTATTAAGTAAATGAAGTATTTGCTGTGAAAAAATGTATTATTTGTGGCCACCATTTATATCTGTGTTCATTTTCTGTGTGTATATGCGTGTGTATTCGAATCTCAATTTTTCTTTTACTCTAGTTTAAGACATATTTAGATGAAATTTTAAAAATAGCATTGGAAATAGGAAACTAAGTTTTGTTGAGTCTCATTCCCTTGGGGGGAAATTGCTTTTGCCATTTTATTTTCATGTATAATAATCTAAAAAGGATCTCCTACTGACTTCCTTCCTAATTATTATTGTTTTACACGAAAGAAAGGAAATATGTTTTCAACTGAGTTGTTTGAAATCATTCCCTCTGTGTAAATTTTCCAGACTGATGTTTCATTGTAAGAATATTACATTATAGACCACTTGGCCATTTCACAAGCAATTAATCCATAGTTTTGGAAGTCCGCTTTAAGAGACCTGAATATCTTTGTTTTTAATAAAATACTTAGAGTTTAACTAAAGCTCTGGAATAATCTTTATTTCTTTTGAGAAGGGTGATTTCAGGGCTGAAAGAAGGAAGCAAGGATCCAAATACCTACAGTTTAAATGTTGACTGTTAATTTAGTCTATTAACCTTGTGTTGATCTGTGATGTTTTCATGTGTGAGATGGACACTAGGACACCCCTGTGCATATAGCTTTTTAAAGATGACATAAGGTTCTTCGTATTATCGAAGTTTTTCTGGAGGTAGGAGAGTCTGCGGCCAAATGCTGGGTTCCTGTGTCTGTTACAGATTGCTCAAATTTGCATGGGCAATTACACAGGGGGATCGCATCAATGTAGGGCCGCCAGCCACACTGACGCCATACAATTACACAACGGCTTCGGTGCTTAAACTTTAAAATTCTTACACCATTGTGCCTGTTCTATTAGAACAAACTGCAGCAAATGATCCAAAGCCAGTTCAAGTGACTGGAGAGGAGGTGCCCAGGGAGGGAGAGGGAAGAGGTACAGTGTGGCCCACTACCGGCCAGCGTAAGCAATCACCATTGCTGGCTGCTGCAATCACTGGCTTCTTTGTGCTTTGCAGTCTGCAGTTTTAAAATGGAGCCAACGATAAGGCTCACCTAATTCACACAAGGGCTGTGAGGATTAATGAGGGAAGTTAGGCAAAACAGGCCTGATACTCAAAGTACTGCATAAACACAGCGGCTTGGAGTAGCTCTTTGAATGGTTGATTTTTTTTTTTAATGCTGCTGTATCCACAGTTTTGCACTCTCTATTAATCCCTTTTATACACCAAAATGCTATTGTGTTCTCCCTGGGAAGTTAATTTAGACAATAATACTGTAAACCCCAAAATACAAGCTACTTGATCAAAAGCAAGGGATATTCAAGAAGGAAATCTAATTAAAATATTAATAAAGCTGGAACTACCAGCAAAAGAAGAGTTCATAATGAGGTTAAATGTCACACCATCTGAGCACAAATGTTCTCAAATGTTGATTTTAGCATACACCTTTTCCAAAAGTCTTAAAAGATGGAACAGATGCTCCCAAAAGTCAGTCAAGTATATTTCCAATTTGGCACTAATTTATACTTTTCTTCTCTGTTCACGGTAGAAGACTGGAGTGGGAGAATAGGGATGCAAGATAACTGAGCCCCCCAAACTGTCCATCCTGAAGAAAATTGTCTGAAATCAAAGGAAAAAAGAAATAACAACTGGAAAATGGATTTGCAGAAGGTCCTCCCTTATAAAGGAAGATGTTTGACCACAGCTGTGGTTGAAATACTCACAAATTACCAATGTTCACCAACAGAAAGGGGCCACAGATACAGTATAAATAAGACATACCTTCCAACTAGTTTTAAAAGAGAATGCCAAATAGATTGTACACACAAATAGAATACGGGATTTGATCATGGCATATTTTGGCAGGCAGAACATCAGTATGCTAAGAACTAAGCTTCATGCTTTTTCTTCCTATCTATTTTGCCTAAATGAAACTCTTCTACATGATAAACATGTCTCCCTTTGTGTAGCAAAATCCACCCTGAGTCCAACTCAAATTTCATCAAACTGCAATTCCTTTCTACAAGTCACCAAATCACTTTATTGCAACCACCAAATGCTTTCCTATTACTTGAAATGGTATGATACACTTACTTTTTGATATATCCTCCAGGTTTTCAAGATCCTATTGCAAACAAAATGATGCTTTATGATACTTCATAATATTCCACCTTATTTCTTTCCATAATTTCTATCATTAAACGGCCTTCTCTCACCACCACCTCCAACAAAACTAATCTATTCCCCAACTGCCTATCAGAGACCAGATAAAAGTCAGTCTATCACAGCAGCAGTGATGGTCATGCCAATTTCACAGTGTGATTTGTGCACTCATTTCATTTTGAAAATGACCCTGCCCTCCATCTGTCTAAGCAGAATGTCCTGCTTTTTTCAAGCCAGGCCTCTGGAACAGCCTCACATGAAATAAGGAGGAAGAGACACAGAATGGCCACCCTCCTGCCCACTTCAGCCACCACGCTCACAGGTACCCACATAAAGAGGAGAACCCCAACTGAATCCTGGTAGGGATCCCAGAAATTTGGAGGAGAATATAGTCCTTTTATTTTTCATACATTTTCAAGAAGCCATTTGAAGATGATGTAAATACAACCCTGCAAAACAGAGAAAAAGACTAATGAAAGGCAATTTCCCATTCCCATGTGGTCATCTCACCTTAATTTAATAACAAATTACCTAAGGTAACAGTACATACATAAGAATATTAAAATACTAAGCCTTGTGAGACACAGTGGCTCATACCTGTAATCCCAGCACTTTGGGAGGCAAAAGTGGGAGGGTTGCTTGAGGCCAGGAGTTTGAGATGAGCCTGGGCAACATGGTGAGACCCTATGTCTATTAAAACGTTTTTTAAAAAAGATTAGCCAGGCATGGTTGTGTACCTGCAGTCCCAGCTACTCAGGAGGCTGAAGCAGGAGGATCATTTGAGCCTAGGAGTTCAAGGCTGCAGTGAAATATGATCATGCCAGCTATTGCAGTGAACTATTGCATGCCAGCCTGAGCAACAGAACAAACCCTGTATCAAATAAATAAATAAATAAATAAATAAGTAAATAAATAAAATACTGAGCCTAAATTCCCAAGGGAGAACCATCAGGCAGCCAGCTGTAAAGAAGTCTATGCACCCTTTCCCCCAATTTATTACTGAGCAGTATCCTCTACCAATGTACCTCCTTGGGCTTAAGACTCTAAAAGGGCTCACCAAAAGATCAGATTGAAAGAAGTCTCAGAATAGAGTTATAGTAATATTCTACAGTTGCTTTCTGTGGGATCTTAGGTGAGCCAAAGTCCCATTCAATTCTTCTGAAATGGATGCAGTTTCCCTTTCTTGGAATTGATGCACTGTGAAGCTCCTTGACTAGTTCCAGCCAAGAAGACACAACTCTGCCGATTCCTAGCAAGGGAGAACACTGAGTAAGTACATAAAGTCAGCCATATGATGATATGAGCAATCACACACCTATTAAAAATCTCCTTCCAGTGATACTGGGTAAATACGAGCTACACGACTCCACTAGTCACATCTGTTCACAGCTGGAATCAAGGCCTAGAAGTTCAAAGTTTACTACCTACACAAAGTTAGTTCGTTGTTTTAAAGGAGAAACAAAGACAATAATATTCCTTATACACACTTAGCACCAAACAACAGGCCCTTACAAACTCATGTACATGAGATACATGGATTGGGTTATTCATCAGTCACTATTTCCTATTGAAATTGGTTACTGGATATCATGGTTCAGCCCCTACCTACCTAGGTGTGGCCTTAAACAAACTATTAATTTAATAGTTTGATTTAATTAATAATATAATACTTAAATCTTTAAACCTTTCAAGCCCGCCGACTTAATATGCAATATGCAGAATGCAGGTTGCTTATTCAAATTAGAAATACTATATGTAAACAGTCTATAATAGAGGTGCTATGTGATATGGTTGATATATCAACCATATGATAGCTGTGAAGTTTATATATAGAAAAGATTTATGGGCAGTAATACTATTATGGATGCATACAAAGGATTTGCAGTAATTATGTAGCAAACAACACACTTTTACTTGGATTAGGTTTATATTAGGTGCCAGAGAGACCAATGGATATCATGGGAGATGACAAAAGATACTGGTTTCTTATCGGCAGAGATGGCTGGAGGACCACAGCAATGGATACAACCAAGTGTAAACGCCAACATATACTCAGTAGTATTTTTTGTCATGGAAAGGGACAGATACTGCGATCAAAAATAGATCCTCTCCCAGTACCAATAAGATTCACAGCACTTTTTCCTCATTAACCTCTGGAACCACCAAAATAAGAAGGATTTCTGTTTGCTGCTCTATTGTGTTCTTACAAACTGTGCCCTCGGGGTAGCATAATGAGAACCTGCTCTAATTCCAAGGGAATTCAAGGAGTTAACTCCCTTTTGCCATCCCGCTCCTTTTATTGAAAGGTCCTTTTATTACTAGCGAATCTCTATTTTATTAAAAGTAAGCCAAACGCCAGCATTAGTATAGACCACACCGCATACAAGGCTCAAAATCGCCAGGAACATGGGCAGGAAATCTTCCACCGCCGCGCTAGAGACCGAGGTGGCACAACAGACACAGAGAGCGCCCCTCATCTTTAGGGGGACGGGAAGACGGGTCACCGTTCCTCCCCACGGGCCGCGGGTCGGGCGGGTGCAGCAGGGACTACGCCTCCCAGCATGCAGTGCGGCCACGCCCGCGCAGCGGCGCCACAGGAACGATGCATGCCGGGACGGGGAGATTCAGTCTCTGAACGGCCTGGAGTAGTCTTTCCCCTTCTGACTGCCGCCACTCTGCAGTCCACAATCTTTGAAGATCAAACCGAACTTGAGAGACTAACGAGAATGGTCCCTTTTTAATTCCTAACAGATTCCTTCCGTGGCAGAGTAACCGGCCTCTTCCGTTTCCGGTTGCCCTGTTGTCGTGGTAACCGCACGCATAACAGCCCTGGTGGTTATGGCGGGCCTGAGCGGCGCGCAGATCCCCGACGGGGAGTTCACCGCAGTCGTGTACCGGCTCATCCGCGATGCCCGGTACGCCGAGGCGGTGCAGCTGCTGGGCCGAGAGCTGCAGCGGAGCCCTAGGAGCCGCGCAGGCCTGTCGCTGCTAGGCTACTGCTACTACCGCCTGCAGGAGTTCGCGCTGGCGGCCGAGTGCTATGAGCAGCTGGGCCAGCTGCACCCGGAACTGGAGCAGTACCGCCTGTACCAGGCCCAGGCCCTGTACAAGGCCTGCCTTTATCCGGAGGCCACCCGGGTCGCCTTCCTTCTCCTGGATAACCCCGCCTACCACAGCCGGGTCCTCCGCCTACAAGCCGCCATCAAGTACAGTGAGGGTGATCTGCCGGGGTCCAGGAGCCTGGTGGAGCAGCTGCTGAGTGGGGAAGGGGGAGAAGAAAGTGGGGGCGAGAATGAGACCGATGGCCAGGTCAACCTGGGTTGTTTGCTCTACAAGGAGGGACAGTATGAAGCTGCGTGCTCCAAGTTTTCTGCAGCACTGCAGGCGTCAGGCTACCAGCCTGACCTTTCCTACAACCTGGCTTTGGCCTATTACAGCAGCCGACAGTATGCCTCAGCGCTGAAGCATATTGCTGAGATTATTGAGCGGGGCATCCGACAGCACCCTGAGCTAGGTGTGGGCATGACCACTGAGGGCTTTGATGTTCGCAGTGTTGGCAACACCTTAGTCCTGCATCAGACTGCTCTGGTGGAAGCCTTCAACCTTAAGGCAGCCATAGAATACCAACTGAGAAACTATGAGGTAGCCCAAGAAACCCTCACTGACATGCCACCCAGGGCAGAGGAAGAGTTGGACCCTGTGACCCTACACAACCAGGCACTAATGAACATGGATGCCAGGCCTACAGAAGGGTTTGAAAAGCTACAGTTTTTGCTCCAACAGAATCCCTTTCCTCCAGAGACTTTTGGCAACCTGTTGCTGCTCTACTGTAAATATGAGTATTTTGACCTAGCAGCAGATGTCCTGGCAGAAAATGCCCATTTGACGTATAAGTTTCTCACACCCTATCTCTATGAGTTCTTGGATGCCGTGATCACTTGCCAGACAGCTCCTGAAGAGGCTTTCATTAAGCTTGATGGGCTAGCAGGCATGTTGACTGAGCAGCTTCGGAGACTCACCAAGCAAGTACAGGAAGCAAGACACAATAGAGATGATGAAGCTATCAAAAAGGCAGTGAATGAATATGATGAAACCATGGAGAAGTATATTCCCGTGTTGATGGCTCAGGCAAAAATCTACTGGAACCTTGAAAATTACCCAATGGTGGAAAAGATCTTCCGCAAATCTGTGGAATTCTGTAACGACCATGATGTGTGGAAGTTGAATGTAGCTCATGTTCTGTTCATGCAAGAAAATAAATACAAAGAAGCCATTGGTTTCTATGAACCCATAGTCAAGAAGCATTATGATAACATCCTGAATGTCAGTGCTATTGTACTGGCTAATCTCTGTGTTTCCTATATTATGACAAGTCAAAATGAAGAAGCAGAGGAATTGATGAGGAAGATTGAAAAGGAGGAAGATCAGCTGTCTTATGATGACCCAAATAGGAAAATGTACCATCTCTGCATTGTGAATTTGGTGATAGGAACTCTTTATTGTGCCAAAGGAAACTATGAGTTTGGTATTTCTCGAGTTATCAAAAGCTTGGAGCCTTATAATAAAAAGCTGGGAACAGATACCTGGTATTATGCCAAAAGATGCTTCCTGTCCTTGTTAGAAAACATGTCAAAACACATGATAGTCATTCATGACAGTGTTATTCAAGAATGTGTCCAGTTTCTAGGACACTGTGAACTTTATGGCACAAACATACCTGCTGTTATTGAACAACCCCTGGAAGAAGAAAGAATGCATGTTGGGAAGAATACAGTCACAGATGAGTCCAGACAATTGAAAGCTTTGATTTATGAGATCATAGGATGGAATAAGTAGTTATGGCTGATAGTGGCTTTTTTCAAAATGGCTTTCTTACCTATCACACTTTTTTATCTGTATTTAGCCTTGACATCTTTATATTTGTCTTATTTTGAATTTTATCCACTTTATAATAACAAGTTTATGTTTGAGCAACTTTTTCATTTAATACAGAAGATTAAGGACTATGCAGTGTAAGC